ATAATGCCAAAAATAAATTTTTACGAGCTTTTCTATTTTTTTTTATCTTTTTTTTGTGCTTAAGCTCAAGTTGCCAAAAAAAAGGGGGAAAGAAGTGTAAAGATTAAATGAGGATTCCATTCGATTCATTTTTTTCTTCATCTTGTGATGGGATGAATGGAGACGATGAGTATTTGGAGAATTTATGTATGTACATGCATTGATGGAATGGAAAAAAGAAGTTTTCTAGTTCTTTTCTACTCTGTATGTTAATCTTAATGTTATGTTGGCGGTTCTTGAAGGTCGAGACTGTTGGATTAATGGGAAAATTTGGTGCCTTTGTGTCTCGGTTTGTTGGAAAAGATGATTTTTTATAAGCTGAGGTTATGATTAGGTTTATATTAACTGAGAGTAGCTTCACCATTTTGGGTTAACCTTCAATATATTGTCATAGACAAAACCACAACTCTTCAGCTAAAGAATCCCTAAAATATATTCCCAAAAATGCTATTTACCATTCATATCCATGCAAAATAAAAAGACAACTTTCCAAGAAAAAAAAATATCTTTTTTCCTTTCCTCTTCTATCTCATTAAGATTCATCTGTGTTTTTTACGTCTTTGGGGATTTAAACTTGATTTGATGTATTTAAATACAAATGGATTTATTTCTTTCTCTTTTACTTCCTTTCCTTTTTGCTCTGCTCTGCTCTGTGTGTGACTTTCTATGTGTTTACATTTTTCAGTTATTTACTGCTCTTTGTTAAGAGATTAAGAGATTTCCCAGGGGGTAATAAATCAATTTGGGAAGTTTTTCGATTTAAAAAATTGTAAAATAAAAGTTGTTGGAAGCACCTGTGATTTTTGAAAGAGAAATTTGATGCTTCTGGAATCTGCGTTTAGTGAAATTTTGAGGAATTTTGAAATGATATTTAATACGCAATTGAATGGTTTAATGCTACATTTATAGATTCTATATGGGGATCGTTCACTTATGACGTCCAATATTAACGGTCATTTTTCAAAAAAGAACAACGGAATTCCAGGAATTTCTATTGTTCTTTCTTGCTGACCCCCCCCCCCCCCCTGGACGTCATAAGTGAACGGCCTCATGGTTGTGACTCGGTAATGTAATAATTTATAGAAGATCCACCTTGACAGTATTTTCAAGAAAACCTTTTCCTTAGCCATGGTCTTACCCTCAATCCTACAACTCTATAAATCAGTGATGGCCAACCCTTGTACGGTGAAATTTTTTGAAATATCTCTCGAACTGTATGTTGTGTCCGGAATTCGTCATGGCTTACCATCAAGTTTGCCGTGGCTCAAAAAAGGTTCGAGACCAATGCTTTATGTAAATAGATCTTAAGACACGACATTTCCTAAACTTTCATTGCAAGAATTTAAATGAATATCAAATCCATTTAGGACATATTCCTTCATTCTTCTTCGTTTACAAGTAAATAGATTAATATGAGTAACATGATTCCTTACAAGAGCCTTACAAAATTCAATCTAATTGAAATCCTTCCAATGCATTTCGATCAAGGTTTTCTTGGTGATTGAAAAAAAAATTATTATTTTCTTTCGTGCGATTGCACAAAACTTTTCCATTACCAATGCCAATAAGAAATGACTTGATGTGCTTTAATGTAACTAATGAATGCAGTAAAGAGCAATAAAAAGTTCTTGGCATGAAATCTACAATTACATGATTGCTTTATTTTTTTTGAACCAAACCTATCAAATGGGGAGTCGTGGACTTATTTTGTTCCCGGACCTCGCCCCACCACCCGTTTCGCTCCCATTTTTGATTCTTTCTACAAATTTTGTGATTTCTCGTAGATCAAAATTATTATGAAAACTTACCCTTCCTTAGAGCGATACGTAATAAATGAACAATCCCAGGCGCAAAGCGTCTTGTTCCCACTCAAGCGTTTTGAACCGTAGCAACGTTTTAAGGGGAGGGGGGGGGGGGGGCAAGACTCAACTGGCTCCGCACCAGAACAACCTTAAAGATTTTCTTTATTATTTGTTGAGTTTGAAGTGCAAACAAAAAATCATTATTGATGCAGCATTAAGGAATGCCATGATAGGAAACACTGCGGTGAAAATTTAAAATAAAATTCTCTTTAAAAAAAATTTTTAAACATTTTTTTCGCTCGAAAATGAACAAAAAGCTTGAAAAAATATTTTTTATGATAATAGCTTTTCCAGCATACCGACAAGCTTTTATTTCCAATTTTTTTTTGTCCATATTGAATTTTTCTCAACTGTTATTTTTTATTTCCTGGCAATCGGAACCATTTTCACAGATGCATATGTAACGACCAGTGTAGAAATAGCTGTGACAATGGAAAGTTTATTGTTCAATCATCGACATCTGCTGTGAATTTTTTCTATTTGCTTCATGAAGCACATCATGTTGAGTGATGAAAATAATTGACAATTTTTTTTTTCGATATTCTGTTTCATAAAAAGAATAATGCGATAAAATATAAAATCCATTTTGTTGATGAAAAATGAGGTTGTTTAAAAAAAGCAAAGCTATGGATTGACATGTGATGAAAAAATCAGAAAATGAAACATGTTGATGAAATGGCACTGAGGGTTTTCTCAGGGGTGCTCTATGATTTTGTACTGAGAATTTTTCACATCATTTATATCAGTCATTTTTGGATGTGAATTATATTTTAAGATATTTGAGAGTTCGAGCTTTTTTAACAAGCTATTTGTTTTGCTGGTTTTTGTAAGATCAGTTGCGTAAGATAAAGCTCCTAAGCTTGTCCTTAAGAACCACAATTTTTTTTATAAATTTAACCTCAAAATTGCCTTATTCAATTATGACGTCCTAAATTAGGGGCATTTTTCAAAAAAAAGTAATGGATTTTCCAAGAATTTCTTTTCTTTCTGACCCTCCCCCCCCCCCCCCACCATGGACGTCATAAGTGAACGGCCCCTTAAAAATACTTGCTAGAATGTTGTATTGAGCTTTTTGCAGGAGAATCTATTAGTGCTAGAGTAAGCTCTCTGTTGCGGAGTAACATCTCAGTATCAGTTGACCATATATCTGTAACTCCATTTTCAGAATTTGAGTTCGATTCCCAAAAGTATCCGATCTCTCTACTATTACATATTGTATTGTCGACATGACAAAGACTCTCGACATCACCGAAATGCATAAAGAACTCCTTAAAGTCTGCCTTAAATACCTCACAATAAATTCGATAAAATATTTTGAATCTTAAAAGTTAAATGTAGCAAATTCAAGCACTTTATTGAAAATTATTCACAGCACTGATTGCACAATTTTATCTCCTGCATTCATGCATGTTCACATTCATTTAAATTCATTAGAGTGCATCCCACATAGACAGAGACAATTCCTTGAAGAATCTCTTTAAACTAATTCAATTTAAATTTCTAGCAATAACTCTTCACAAAAATTATGAACCTCAGAAAAAAAGGAACAAGACAATTTTAAGGATCACAAATTGAACAATTTAAAATCAGACACAGCAGGGACAAAGATAAAGTTAGAAAATTGTTGAACACTCTTCAACACATCATTTAATTACGAAACCATAAAAGCTATTGTAACAGCCATGTTGGTCATTATCATTTTCTGTTTGTGGCATGAGCTCCTCTCTCATCAGGACGTGCATTTTCATTATTTGAGCAAAACTGCAATTTTCTAGCAATTATATTGTCATGTGGAGCTTAAAAAGTGAAAATATTATTTTTATGGGAATAAAATGTTAAAGTTATATGCTCACCCCTCCTAACCATGTAATGTCTTTACTCTCATCATCCACAATGTAAATGTTGATGGCATGTCAACATGCTCTTTACTTGCATGAATGATTGAAATACATAGCATATATACACAGCATGATAGAATAAGATCGTTTTGTTGATTATTTGTAATTCACAATTTTCTTGCTTGGCTTCCAAATAAATGTAAAATTGTGTTTATCTCAAGCTGTGCTTTTTTTGGAAATTATCTTGGCTGGATTAAAAAAATTATTTTTTGAACTTTTTTTCATCTCCGTCTGTGAATTTATGTGATGAGTTTGGTGTTGTTATTAACCACACAGTTTCATTCTTTGCTTTTTAAATTGTTTGTAATTGCATACTTGAGAGAAACATTATTTAATTAACTTTTTTGTTTTAATTTTTTTCTACTTCCCATAATTGAGTTTAAATTTAAGCTATTACTGGCTGTTGTGGAATTGTTGAACAGTTATTAAGGAACTGATTTGGTTTTAGGAGATAATTTGGTTGTTTTGAGCAGTTTTAAGGTTGGAGGTTCAGTTTGCGTGCATTTAAGTGCGGTAGGGGTCGTTCACTAATGACGTCCAAAATTATCGGTCATTTTTTATAAAAAACAATAGGTTTCCTGGAATTTCTTTTGTTCGTTTCTTGCTACCCCCCCCCCCCCCCCCCCCCCCCCTCCTACTGTACGTCATAAGTGAACGGCCCCTTAGCGATGAGGTTAGGACTCTAGCCTTCTCGAATGGCATAAGTCGGATAATCGATCCAAAATCCGGAACCAAGCCAGTATGAATCTGGTACGTTGCTGGATTTTTTGATCGATTCCTATTCGATTAACCGACTTGTGCTATTCGGGCTTTTTAAAACATTGAGCCAGATTCAATCCAAAGAATGTCAAGTCTGAACAAACATTAGAAAGCTATCAAATTACTCCAAACTCGTTATACTGGGATCTTCTTGATCGTACAATTATTCAGAGATAGAAATAAGCTAGCTGCTCGTTATAGAATAGATTTTTGTCGCTAATCGGCACATTTGACCTTAATTGAATCTACAATCAATCAATTCGAGCCATTAATCACTGTACTTCCAAATAAAAATACAGAAGTTCCATAACAAAATTGTTCAACACTTCCAATTTTATTCCAAATTTAAAAAGCTTCACCAAAACCATTTTAACATTAAAGAACATTTTTTAATAATTTTTTTCAATTTTATCTTCCCTCCAAAATTTCCAAAACCAAACAGGATTATAAAGAATGCTTTGATGCAGAAGGTCTAATGCCTCTCAACACGTCGGATGTTAACAAAAGCATTTTAATAGAAATGCGAATGGCAAAAGCAATGAATATCCTAAATTTATGTCATGGTAGCAGCACAAAATCAAGTGGCAATTTTGTGACGCCACCAGAGCAAATAGTTGGACCAAATAAATTTACATTTCCATCAATTGATGCGGCTATTCGTACAATACCAACGACAAATCCGACAAGTGAGAATAATTCAAGTTTAAATAGCAAATACAGTAATAGTGCTATGGCTGTCACTTCCAATCCCACATCGAATAATAGTAATTTTAGAAATTCTAATAGTAATAAGGATAATAAAGACAACATAACAAGTTCCAATTTGATATTAAATCAAAATTATAATGTGCATAATAGCACAAATTTAGATCTCGCGAGTGTTGATAGTTCCGATACATTCATGAGCTGTCAAACACATCCGTTCTTATCGCAAGGTGATCTTACAACAGCACCAGATGATGATTACAATAATCTCTGTGATTTCGACATGATCGATGCCGATACTCTTTACTTTAGTTCGTCAATGCAACCTAAAAATGCAAACTTTTTGCGAGGCGGAAGTTTGCATAGCGGTCCAGTTAACATTATCGTAGATAGTAGCTTAAGTGTGTCTGGTGGACAAGTGAAGAAGAGTACATCTGGTGATACGGCATTGAGAAGTCTTGCAGCTAGTCCAATTGAAGATCAATATAAAGCATTCTCAACTGATCGTGGAAGTCGAGTAAGCTTAAATGAAACACCCGTGCCAAAGCATAGAAAAACAAGATTTCAGCAACAACAACAACAATTACAGCAGCAACAACAACAATATTACAGCAACAATTCTAATAATAAGTTGAAAACCCGATTTGATGATGGCGCTGGAAGTGAGGAGAGTGGCGTCGAATCATTAAATGCCAATAATAACAGCGGCAGTAGCAATCCTAAAAAGAATCGTAGAGCTTCCTTTATGCCAAGCAAAATTATTACATCTGCTACAAAGCAGCTCATTAATCAACATCTTTTTGGGCTTCAGTCGATGGGCTCAAAAGGTATGTAAAATTTCATTTTGTGTGCGTTGGTGTTAGAACTGATATGTTTATTATGCTTGTAACATGATAAATGATCTTAAACCTTCCTACTTTTTTTTCTTCTTTATGTCTGATACAGATGGCTCAGGCGATACGCACAAACGTTCAAAATCAATTCTAAAAAATAAAGCCGATGCACGTTTAGGTTCAGATCCTGAAAGCGAGAGGCTTTTAAGTGATACAGGATCGGGCGTTAGCGATATTAGCGTAATACCTGTAAGTTATCTTCGAAGTTTTATTTTGGGAGTCATAAATGCTTATTTTGTGGGTTAGGTGCATGCTTATCTGATGCTAAGTTTAAGTCAATCTCTCAGAAGAGTTTAGTACTGAAGCTGGAGACTTTGGATGCTAAAACCTTGGGTTTTGCTTCAGATCCAAGTCTATAAATAGTCTAAGATGAACAAAAGCATTTCTGACTGCCTGTTGACCTTTTTACTTCACTTCCTCAAAATTCTAACCTCAAAAAAATATTTTCCTTCGAATACCTTCACAGGCTGATGGAAATCTCGAATTTTCACCGAACACAGTTCATAAATCAATTTCACCACAACTTAGTCACCAGCGTCATCAACGTCTTGTACATCAACGTTCAACACCAGCATCATTCGGACGAACGAAATTTCAAACACCACGACAACAGGACGAGACAATGTTGCGTCAAACAAAGCCAATTCTTCAGCGTGGCTTGGGTTTTGGTGGAACGACGCTGCACGATGCACATGGAAGACTCGATTCAGGTACAAGGGAGAGTAGTTTAGGTGAGTATAATGGAATATAGGGAGGTGTGGTGGTGCTTTAGTGTTGGTTATTTGGGTATGCTATGGTTCAGTGGTTCTCAAAGTATTAAACGTGTCGTAGATTATGGTTTGAGAAGCACTGACTAAGCTAGAATGAAGAATTTAAGTTGCAATGTGTATATTCTGAATTATAGCTAGTGTATAGCTAAGAAACTGAATTTAGGGATGCAATGACGTAGCAAGTTTGGTGTAAGGGGCATCAACCTTAGCCAGAGGGGCAATCTAGCTCTTGAACTTGCTATGCTATTGCAGGTTGGTTACGAAAAACGAGTAAACTTAATTTTGGTGCCAAAAACCAACCTAAGAAACTGAATGATGATAAAACTTACTGGATACTTACAAGATCTTTCCATATAGATTCAGACAATGCATACTCAACAACATATCCATTAATAGGAAACAGTGATAGAGAAAGAGACGAATCATCATCATCTACAATAAAAGCGAGTAACGATCAAATAGCAACATCATCGATATTAGATAAGCATCACAATTCTTTAACTTGTACAGGCAGTGGAACATCAACATAGTAAATTATAAAAATTAAAAAAAAAATGAAAATATATGAAAAAGAAATCTCTATAAAATATATTATAATTAAATCTACAACCACACCGATTTTTAATGCCAAGTAAGAATATTTTAATAAATTAAATTATTTTTAATGCAACAATTATCCCCCCACCCTACAACCATGTACCCCCCTATTTATAAGAAAAATTTTGTAAATATTAATAACACACAGAAAAAAAAACACACAAAGTCATTATTTAAGTAAGTGAGTAAGTAAGTTAATTAATTCTATAAGGCATTAAAAAAATAGAAAAAAAATTATTATGAATGAAAAAATATGAAAATGTTCTAGTCACGATTGATAAATTGCCCCTTAATTATACATAAACTACATAATGAATTTCATAAATTTTTTTAGACTAAACCAAAAATTATAAATATTATAAATAAATGAAAAAATTCAAAAAAAAGACACAGACATGAAAATTCTAACATTGAATAATCAAGGCAGAATGAGTCGTTGTTGCTTTTAATTTCATGCAAGGAGATTTTTCTTTGTGGTCGTAAATTTTTCTTTTGTTTATGCTTAATTAGCTGAACAGCGTTAAGCTGAGCGTGAAATATTTTCTTACAGTTTTGATAAATTGCTTTCATTATCATGCATAATGAAATAGTTAATAAAGCTTATGAGGAGATTATTCACTAGCTTTTGAGGACTGGATTTTGATTTTTTGCCTTTATTTAAAGCTGAACTTCAAAAAAGCATAATTTTGTACTTTTTAAATCCTAATTGATTTTTTTACTCCAAAAGTTCCTATATTATACTCAACTTAATGCTTAGTTAAGCAATTGAATGCTAATTTAAACTGAAAATGCCAATTTTGCCTGAATTTTTGAATATAAATAAAACCACGTGATTTTTAAAGCTGAGCGTTGCAAAAAATTCAAAATTTCAAATTTTTTCTTTAAAATATTTATGTTTTTTTGATAAATTTGGAAATATTAATTATTCTAACCTGAAAGCCTTAATAGATTGAAAATAATCTGCAATTTTGATACAAAAATAAGTGTGAAATAGATGTAATTAAATTTAATTTCTATCCAAAATTATCACAATCTTAAAAGTTCTTGCATTGAATTTTAGCTGAACAACTTCTTTGCCTTTGATTAATAAAACATCTCTTTATAAGACTTAAGAATGCTTATTTGCTAAACAAAAAAAAATTATATCGTTTTATAAAAATCGCTTTAAAGCCATTCGAAAGCAAAACAAGCTAAAAACACACAAAAAATCTAAGAAATCACATTTTTATGCGAATATCAAACTTTATTACTACTGCTAAAATGATCATTAAATCGTCTCATTACCAGCTTAGTATTTGGTATAAGTGCCAAATCAGATTAGAAAACTATTATGCATAAATGAAGGAAAAAACTGTCATTAAGACTTAGTAGCACATTTATAAGACATTTTTTGTTGATATTTTAAACCGTTTTTGAAACATTTAGTTTTTATTTGATGAAAAAAGTTAAAAAATAATTGAATTTTTATGATTTGAACATTCAATTTCGTGTACTATGGTTTTAAAATCAATTAACGGTTAAATGAGATTTGAATTTTTTTCAGCAACCGTTTGAATTCAAATATCAAGAAACCGATAAAGTTCAAATTTCAAGAATCCGTTAAAAATTCAAAAATTCTTTAAATTTTATTTTTGTAAAAAGCAAATTTTGCAAGCTTTCAATACGATTCGAATAAGGTTGAACTATTTGAAAAAGCGTAAAATCAAAAAGCTCAGATAGTTGCCAAAAAACCTACAAAAGTATAAAACAAATTTGACAACATTTAAAGCATACGGTTTAATCTCAAGCTTATCTAGACTCGAACAAATGAGTAGCATAATAAATTTAACATGAATTGGTGCAATATCCTTCTATGATTATTTTCCATTTTCACTTTACGAATTAACTAAGGAAAATTTTTGATGCTACAAAATAGGAAAATAAAGAAAACATTTTTACTCGTCCCCCTCGGTAAATTAATTAATGAAAAATAAATAAAATGAAAATTTTATAAGAATAAGTGAATATAAGTAAAAAAAATAAATATCGATGAACCTAACATATATACGAAGCAATAAGGAAACAATTTTTTGAACAAAAAAATAATCATTCGATAAAGAAAAAATTTTTAACAAAAAAAAAAGTAATAAAATTATCAATTTATTTTACAAATTTTCTTCATTTTTATGCAAAAAAAAAATATATCTCAAAATGAAGTAGAGAAAAAAATTAGTAAAAATACGACGAAAATCAATTTTCTAAAATTGTATGAAATAAAATACTCAATTATTAAGTTTGAGGATGCAAAGAATCTTTTTTGGAGAATTTAAGTTGGGTATTATTAAATTTTGAAAGACTCTTAATGAAGGGCCGTTCACTTATGACGTCCATCAAAATACCTAATTTTAAGACCCCTTCCCCCTTCTTTCACAAAACTGTCACGGATGTCAGCACCCCCCCCCCCCCCTTGTGAGGTCAAATCTAAGACACAAAAAAATTATAACTTCCTGATTAAAAAAATGGATGTCACAAATTTCCTGACCCCCCTCCTTCCTCTGTCATAATGAAATACACATTTTTTGCCCCCACTCCATCTAAATATTGAATGTTGGACGTTATAAGTGAACAATCTGATGGGTTTTGTTTAAAATAATATTCTAATGAATTTTTTTTCATATATTTTTGTCTCCCCCCCCCCCCCCCTCCTCCTTCTGTGAACCGTACCTTAAAAAAAATTTTGGAAGTGTTTTGGTTTTTTTTGTCTAAAACTCTAGAAAGTTCGGAAAAATACAAAAAAAGTTGAAAGGGGGAAGCTACCCACTTGACCCCCCTTGGCCTTCTTGATAGGGCTTTTGAATGGATGTTTCTTGATTAGCTTAGTCAGATTATTTAAATTAAAAACCAACGTAGGCCAAAAACTTCACTGATCAAGTCTCAAGTCAAATCCTCTATAAAGCTGTCATTTAACACCAAAAAAGACACCCAAAAATGCTCTTCAATTATTTTTAAAAAAATAAGCAAAAAATATTTATACAATTTGCAAAAAAAATATTTTAAAATTCTCTGTAAAAAACATTACACAGTTGACCTCCATCCAATTCCAGCAGCCATCTCCGAAAAAATTTAAGCATCACTCAAACTCATTGAAATGGACATTAAGAAAATTAAAAGCAAGGCACAACATCTTCACAAAAAAAAAAGCAGCAAGACACAAAAAAAATTAAGTAGAACAATCGGCAAATATAAGGAAGACAAAAAGCCAGTAAATAAATGTCAAGACATTCGCATAAAAAAAATTATTACATTTGCAGTGGACAAGAGAAATAATAAGGAACAGAGTAGAGATAGCAGCAGTGAGAAATTTTTTATTACTACACACAACACTTATAAAAATGCACAAAAAACTAAATTTATTCCATGCCACTGCCAAGTAAAATTGAACAAAAAAAAAAGATGGGAAAAAAATTCACAAAAAAAAGTTTAATCGAGTAGATTATGTGTGCTATTTTTATGTTATTAAGGAATATTCAGACAATTTTTCTACTATTTTAATAATCTTAAAAAAAAAATAAAAAACAAAAAAAAAATATGAAAAAAATGAATGTTGGAAGTGCAGTAAGTTGGGTCATGAATGAGAATTGTTTTTAGATAGGCGACGTCGTCGTAGGGATAATTATAATGAAGGATTCGCCAGAGTTATGAAAATATTATGAAGGAAACTTATAAAACTTATTACAGGACATGTTTTTGTATTGTAGGCAAAGGTATGAAATTATTAATAAATTTTTTGCACACGATTCTGTTTTTTTTACCGTCTTGGAAATGATAAATTACGCTTAAAATGAGAAAATTCATTTATTATTATTGAATTTAAGTTAATGTTATTTGTAGGATGATGATAATCTCAAAATTTGAGTTTTTATAAAAATGCTTTCTGTCTGCTACTTTCTGATGATGTGCTGCTTCAATGTCCACATAGAAAATTACCATGTAATTTTAAAATTTGATTTGTGGATTATTGGAGGTTCATTTCATTAAGCACAAGCAGTTATTGCTACTATAGTAAAATTATAATGATGAAAGCTATGATGTTGTCATGGTTCGTGTAATGTCGTGAGCATTGTTCGAATCTTTTCCATATCCACTGGAAGCTTTGAAACAACGTCCTCACAAAAAAGCGTTACAGTCATCCGGGCTGGTGCATAATCATTAGCGCTACAGAGACCTAATCTCGCACTGGCAGTTTCGTCTATATATGCTCCAACACCACAGTACATAAGAATAATATTTCAATTGGATGAAGCCATACTCTTGAGCAGTGATTGGCAACCTTTTTTGTACACAAATGTGACACGGTTTTGCAATACTGCTCTGTAGGTTGAAGAACAGCCTCCCCCCTCTTCCTATCTTTAAAAACAAAAAGTTAACTCTGGACAATTTTGTAAAGACCGTTGTTTAAAAATCGTCAGTATTTGGGGGATTTATTGGGGTACAAAACCAGCAATTAACTTCCTTACTCCTCAATTTCCTTTCAAAAAATCTTTAGTCAGACACATTGTTAAAGTGAGTTGATGGGGTTTGTTTCTATTTTCAACCAGCTACCTGGGGCACCCTAACCTAGTCTTAGTTTCATTTATCTCCCATACTGTAGTGACTTGGGAAAACCCGGAAAATGGAAAAAAGGAATGATTTTTGAACTGAAAAATGTCTACAAGTATAGTCAATTGCCACGGCAGTATGATTTTTAAATTTATCCAGGGGCCCTCAATTTATTTCTTTTAGTTCCAATGACACCTTCATAGCTTATCAATTAAATAATTCATAATTTAATTCTATCAAAAAATAAAGGAATTATTCAGACACAATCTACTTAAGAGAATTGACGAGAGTAAAAGAAATGAGAACACTGCAAAGAAAAATCATCAATTTTATGAAGAAATAAAAAAAAAAGTTTTTAATATAAAAAATGATATCAAGCTATCAACAATCAAGACAAACGAATAAATAAGATAATTCATCTTTTTAACTCTTTACTGTCACAGCAAAAAGAAATTATCCTCCGTTTTTTTCTACTACTTAACTTTGCCACTCTTTCCATCCATTCTTTTTCTATACGACAATGAAAATTCAATCAATCAAAATAATCATGCAGCAATGAGCTTCTTTGAGATAAATTTATAAAAAGAAAAATAATGTAAAATGGCAATCAAATTTTTTTTTATTGAATTGATATGAAATGCATCGAATCATGCGTATTACAATCTTACTTGCATTATAGATTGCGATGTGACGTGAAATTTTAATTTTTTTAATCGATTGACACCAAAACTTATAAAAAGTTTCATTTTTTTATTTTTAAGAAAGTTACGAAATTTTTTAAATTGAAAATTTCACGTCACTAGCTTCATGAAAAAAATGACATTTTATGGCTCTGAAAAATAAATTTCTTTTTTAAAACGATTTTTTGCAACATTTTTAAATATATAAAAGAAATTACAGTAAATGATATGAAATATTTCAGGGATTTATTCAATCACAGCAAATGGAAATAAATTTACAGAAAAAAAAATTAATAATTTTAAAGTTATTGCTACTTCTTGCTGAATTTGCGCCAATTTTGACATTTAAAGACATTTGATTTTAAATTGGAATGATTCAGGAGTCACAAAGATTCTCAATTAAAAATTAAAAACTTAAAGCATGTGTAAAATAAGTCATGACACACTTAATAAGCACATTCACATATACCTGATAGACATGTCACCCTTAAGTTGGATTTTAAATGACTTATTGGTTGTTGGTTTGGTGGAATTGTGGTTAATTTGATATGTCAGCCTCAAATGCTGCATCTGCATCTATAAGATACATAAAATCTTACCTAAAGGTGCTCAGTCATTCAGGATAAGATCCAGTAAATAATTCAGACAAAATAAAAATCATACAAAGCAAAATAAAAAAAAAATTGTGAATAAAAAACGAGAAGAAAATGAATTTTTATAGCTCTTCTATTATAGCTTTTGTTACAGTAAAGGGTTAAGTCTTAAGCAAATCAAGAAAAAAAATTATAAGCGATATTCTCACATTCATTCGAAATAAAGCAGGGAATCGACATGTAAATCTCCTGTCCACAAAATATCTCTAATTCTGAATTAAATAAAGACAAAAAAATTCCCTGCAAAAAATTGGAGAAAAAAAAGTTGAAACATTTGTGAATTAATGTTCAAAAAAACTCACTCACATGCAAAAACAAAACATGGAAATGAATCAGAAGTTATTTAAATAAATGAATAATTAAAATGAAATTAAAAAAATGATTTAGATTTAATGATAAAGAATATGACTTAAAATTGTTATAAAAATGCTTTATATCTGTGATTTTGATTAAATAAAAATTATTGAAATGAAAAATGAGAAAAAAAATTGTTTTATTTTGAATTTTAAATTTTTTTTTCAGATTTGAACTTGAAATCAGCATTTCTGCACTAGGTCTGTATCGTAATATTTGGGGTACTTTAAGACAAGAGCGTAGTCAGGTGGGGGGGGGGGGGCAATTTTTGAAAAATTTCTACAATTTGCTAGGGTTTTAAAAAAACTAAACCCCCCCCCCCCCACAAAATTTTTCCGTCCTTATATAAAAATTTCAACCCGACCCTCACACCCTTTAAACCTATAGCTTATAGAGGAATCCAAACCACGTGCAAGCTCTGCACATTGTAAAGACACGAGTTCGTCTATAGACCTGGTGTACCCTGCAATGTATCTAGTCACAATTCGTATGCGCAAGATGCTGTAAGGAAATCATCCAGATACTAGCTTATTCTAGTATACCTAGCAAAGAAGACACGTTATGTGCCGAAGACCTCAAAACTACACACACAAACCTAGCTTCGTAACTAGAACAGCAAAATAGAAAAAGAGCTTTTAAATCTTTACTAGGCCTGGGATTGAATCCACAACCTTTAACACGTAAGCCCAACGCTCTACCACTTAGGTCACTGATGCCATTTCATCGCTAGACCGCATTCCAATTCCAAGACGATCATCTAATTTGAGGTAATAAAGGCAACATCATTTAGTTGTATTTATTTGTGGCGACGCCTTAAACTTAGGCAAAATTATTATCAATCATCATTAACAATTAAACTGATTATTTAATCTTATCATTACCGCAATCTGTAAATAAAGATATTAATTTAATAAGACATGAGTCAAGTTCTTTTGTTTTCACAGTCGCATTTTGTGATTAATTTCAGCTACAAGTTTTATGTCCAAAAATGAAATCGTCTAGAAATTTCGTATTAATTCTCATCATCGCAGTCAGCATAGCTATTAATGGTTCATCATCAAGCTCCGTCGACGGTGAGATGTGTAGATGTGGAAGAATCTACGATCCAGTCTGTGCAAGTGATGGATCTATCAACAAGACATATGACAATGAGTGCATTCTTAAATGTGAGCAGAAAGATGCAAGAAGAAGTGGCAGAATGCTTAACAAAATGTATGAAGGAGTTTGTCAAACAGACGAGGATGAAATGTGATTGAACTTTTTTTTTATGGAACGTGACAAAATGTAGAATTTTGACTTATGCTGGTACTGAAATTTGAACTCTTTTTTACTTTCTCGGTTAGACGTGATGGACTATTTTTAGATTACTAGAAACTTTTCATCTCCTTTTTATGGCTGTAATGTATCAAATGTTATGGACGTTCAATGAAATTTTATATTTGTTGACAATTTTTTTTTTCTGATAGAAAACGAAAAAAGTTTGTGCTACCTTAATGTCCTGAATAAATAATAATGGAATTTTATATATATTTTTTTGTAGAACTTTCTTGATAGTTTTCTTTTTAATATTTTAGTTTCAATTACTTGGACATCAGCAGGGGCGTAGCCAGGGGGGGGCCATAGGGGGCCCGGGCCCCCCCCTACGAAAATCTGATAATTGTTTTATTAAGTATTTATAGAGAAGAACCAGTTAATGTAGAGGAAGTGATGAAAGAAATGTCAAAATGAGCACGGAAAATTAAATTTAATGTATGAATAATGAATTAAATATTTAAACTTATGAAGAATGAATATAGATTTAAGGATACAAAATAACGGTTTTTTCAATTTTCGAAGATGGGCCCCCCCCTTAAAAATTTTCTGGCTACGCCCCTGGACATCAGCATTCAATTTGTTGATCCTTAAAGTTTTCAATTGGTCAATTTACAATTTTCTTTTATTGTGGTTTTTTGATGGTTTATGAATTTTTCAGGTTGTGGAATGAAGTTGGGTAGAATGTGGAATGGAATCGACGATAAGTTGCTTGTTGAAAATTAATTTTAACATTTAATGAACTTAATATTGAATATTAAGCAGATAAAAGGAAACTTCAGAACAACGTAGGAATCGAACTTTCATCTTAATGATTTTCGGTTACATGCTCTTAAGTCTGAGCTATCGTAGGCTGCTTAAAAGCTTTGCAGAATAACAACTTAAACTATTATCGAATTATTATTGGTGCGGCTTTGCTTGGAAACTTTCAACATTATTTATAGGACATCAATATAGAAACTTACTAGTGTTCTGGTATTTTGTTATTCCTCTTCGAGTTCATGGTTGTTTCCACAATTTAATATGTTCAAGAGTAAGAACCTTGCGCGTAGCCAAGAGAGTCCTGGCCCCCTATAACGTTTTGAACCGCAGTGAGAGCACGGCTTAAAATGCTTAAGAGGGGGCAATAACCTCCTGGCTACGGGCTTGGTAAGAACATATCGCCATCATAATTGTTAACATTTCTTCAACAAGCAACAGGAAAAGGGAAGTAATCTGCTGTATCCTATAAAATTTATTCACACAATCCTGAAACTTAATAATCAAAATTTCAATAAAATTCCAAGAAAAACTCTATTTCTGCTAAAAATCATCACTCAAGACTCTTGCTTTAATTTAGTAAGATTTAATAATTTTGTTGCTTAATAATCATATCTCACATTTTGTAAACTTCATATGCATAAGTAAATAATTCAATACAAAAAAAAAGTCATTTCATTCACACAAAGTGAAACTACAAATTTTTTAAGTAACAAAAAAAACTTTTTCCTTACATTTCTAAACTTCTGCAAACTAGAAAGCTTTTTAGATTAAATTTTATAATTTAAGTAACTTTTAATGGTAAAAATCTTATTTTTTTCTGTGCTGTCGATTCTTTCCTACAGTAAAAATTGGGTAGAAAATGTCGTTGCTATTCGATATGAATAAAATTGTAATTAATAAGTTATTACTTATTAAGATTGAAAAGTTTTTTGAAAAGCCATCATGATATGAATGAACATTTATCAAGCATTTGTAAGTTGAAATGCTTTCAAGGCAGATTTACTTGAGGTTTGGGGCACTTTAATGGGGTTTATGCTGGTTTATGGTTTAGATAAATATGAAAAAAAAACTAATACGCGATGGATAGCTATTCTTGTTTTTACTATTTTAGGATTTGAACCTGGTTTGACTTCTTGGTTGGGTCAACCCAACTTTTTTAAGAGCTATCATAATTGATACTTTTTCATCCAATTATAGCTTTCACAAAAATCAAATTTAAAGCTTCAATTAGGGGCTGTTCACTTATTACGTACCTAAAAGCGTAACGTAATAAGTGAATGGCCCCTTAACAAAATTCTCGAATAAAACACTAGACATGATGTCTAGCTTACTCCTAGACTTAGAATCAACTAATGACATTTTTGAAAAAGCTCAAAATTCATTATTAGTCATCCCTCCGTCGAATAATTAGCAGCACATCATGTTTAAAGCTATACTCTTAAATCTAAATCCATTTGAGTGCCCAAACCATCATCTAAGTCTATTCATTAAAAAATTGCTAATTTTCATATCAAAAGTTATTCTTTCTTATCGCTGTTGCAGTATAAAAAATTTTCAGGCACGAAATTCAATCTTTTTCTCGATATTTTCTTCTATGATGACACTTGAACTCATAAGCAGGCTGCATTATAAGCTCAAAGTCCCACTGCGTTAAACATTTATAAGAAATTGTTTTTAAAGATATTTTGATCCAATGAATAATCACATGAATGTGCATTTAAAAAAGTCCAAAAAAAGCTGTGACAAAAATAATTTTAAAACAATCCGTGTTCCTTCCTCAAATTTGTCTTTTTCCACGACGGTAAAGTCTTCCATTCATCTTTTGTCATTCCCAAAGTCTTTTCAAAATCATCATCGTCAAGATACACCTCGAGTTTTGTTGGATTTACATACTCTGGTAAAGGTCTGGCAAGAAGAGCATCTAATGGATATGTTGTCTGATGGAATCGCGTTAAATACTCATCAAGTTGCATCATTTCTTTTGATGGATTCTGGAAATAAAAGTAAATATTAAGTATGATTGTATAAATAACGTCTAGACCAAATATGTACCTGACTATTCAGCTCAACGACATCATCATGAACAATCCACTCGGGGAATATTGTTCGGAACTCAATTGGCTCATATCCAGCTGTTACAATGTATACATCCTTACGATATTTCTCATTGTGACCGCACTTTGCCTTCCAATAGTCAATAGCTGTCTGCATAGCCTCACAGCGCTCTAAATGCCAACGATTTTCACCCGCACGATTCTCAACATTATTCACATCCACTTCATCCTGACTCTTGCCATTTTCTTCGACATATTTTGGCCACCATCCTTGCCACAGATATAAAGCATATCCATTATCAATAAGAAAGAGTGTGGGCTGTCGCGCATTATACAAATCCGTTTGAACGAATGGAAATGCTGTGTAATGGTCTTTACTCCTCAATCCGGGTACGACTTCTATTGCTTCAAAGGAGCCATTTGTGCTCGTCAGTTCGTACAGTTTTGGCGTAAAGTCAAACGACTCCTCGTGTTTCAATAAGCTGTTATAAGCTTCTCTATTCGTGTCATTATCGTCAGCACATAAAGCACTAAAGAATTCTGAACTTTCCTGACCTTCAGCATATTCACGTAAACGAATCTTTTCAGTTGAGAAGAACTCGCTGTACTTTTTGCCACACAATTTGGAACAGACGCTGAGTGCGACTTTTTGTTGCTGCTCTGATGTTTTCGAACCCTTCCACAGCACAAGCTGACCATTTTTGCCTTGCACAATAAAAATACAAGCTCGCGAGCGTAATTGCTGTAATTCACATGGCACTTCAAGAGCAATAGCCTCATTGATATCACTTCCACCAGTAATTAAATACATTCGCCATGAGTCATATCGCGACTCATCAATGCGCTTCTTATGAATAAATATTGTCTTAAAGAGTCGCACAAATGCTGGAATTTCTGTAAATTGCTGAATAATCATTTGTGAACCTTTCTCTTTGTCTAACTCAATCATATGTAGTGTGGATGTTCCTTTTTCACTTGCTGTTGCATCTTTGCCTTGCCAATTAAAATAAACATAACGATCTCTTCCGACTGTACTTCGATTTGACACCTTACCACTTAATTCTCGTACGGTGATGTTTATTTGATATTTCCACAATACTGTATATGCTTCCGTTGCATAAAAGTGCGGATGGAGATCATTCGGAAGCTCCTCATTTCCATATGAATTGGCGTGCCATTTTTTGACCATGACTGTAATAACTTCAAAATAGCGTCTTGTATCTTCATCAAAGTAATTGTTTCCTCTGCCAAGGCATGAGTTCTCAAGTACCAGATTTGGTTCCTCATAGACATAGCTTCTGAACAAATGTGATCCATCAATATGATCAATTTCATTGCAATCAACATGAGGAATTTTACTTTTGTTCTGGAATTTTATGTCTGGCCAGTCTGAGAATTTCTGTTTAAAGAGGATTGTTTCCATATTTTGATTGACTCTGGCCAGGAATGCAAATTCTGGTCGTTTAGTTCCATTCATTTTCACATCTTTTTGTGACTTTCTATGTCCACAAATTACAGAATAATCAAGTGGATTTAAATGACATGAATTATAATAAAATGGTGTCTCGTAAAGCTCTTCAGCCAAAGTCATAGCGGTACGTTTATCGTCAGGCAAAGCATTCTTTCCACACCACACGTACACTTCCGATCCAAAATCAAGAACGAAAATTTTTCTCGAATTAATCATCGATATTGTCAAGACTTGACCCCAAAAGTCCTCGACTGGCACAAGAGAATCATCCTGTAACTCATAAACCATATTTGTTTCCTGTAAGCACGCCTCAATCAATTCATCTTCATCGGAATGGCCAGCACTTGTCAATGGCTCATCTTCGTCGCGTTCTAAAATTTTACAAAACATTTTTCCATTATGTCCATCGAGATTCCTTTCTGTTATTGACAAGAGCATATTTGCATTACATCCAAGATCTTTATCACGTAGAATTGATGTGCACATATCTTTGCATACTTTGGACTCGATAACATTTGCAAATCGTCCTATAAAGTTAAACAGCTTCTCACTTGTGACGAGTACGAAGCAGTCGCCATCATTTAAGCTTGAAAATTTTACAGGAACGAGTCTGCATTGGACATGTCTACGACCTTTAATGTGTATCAGCATTGGTGATTTATATGGCAAGTGTGTAACATTAAGTGGTTCGGAGCTTGATTTCAATGTGACAGCTGTAAAATCTTCTGTTGCTTGTAATCCAGCAAGTGCTTCAGCTGTAAATTTACTCTTCTTTGTGTCTTTAAAGTCTGTAGGACTTGGCGAATCGCATTGAACGAGTTCTGTGTATTCGGATATTGTGTCTGTCCTTAGTTGCGCAAGTGCTTTCATTGCACTTACAGGACGTCGTCGTTTTGGTCCCTGTGTGATTTTTCTTTTGGATAGAATCGTCGATTCCACTTTTATTTCATCAAAGTCTGTTATGTCTACAGATTCAGGTGATTGCTGTTCATTGTTTTCTGCTTTTGGAAAGAAGCTGTCAATTCCTTGATCTAATGTCGGTAATTGTATTCTTAAACCTTTCACATTCTGTGGTTGTGCCTCATTAGACTCTTGAACACTCGTTGATCTTGTGAAAGTTCTGACTGAGGTTTTCTGTGGAGCTCCAAATATAGCAGTTGATGTGCTTTTTGATAATTTAAATGACTGAATTTTATCTGACTTGAAGACCTTCATTGGTGGATGTGACTTTGTGCTGTCTCGATTGAATGGCAATTCTGGTGGGTCATCCGATTCGTCATTTGATATTTTGAAATTTGATGCGTCTGAATGTTCTATGAATGGAAATAAGGAAAATAAATCAGGTGTGAATTTTAATAAGGCATGGACACTTACCAACTCTATTCTTCCATTTTTCTGTATTACTCTTTAAATGTTCTAATCGATCCAATAAATTACTAGCACCAATATCAACCGACTTAACCTGTCGTAGCTGTGGTTTTGGGAACTCATTTTCTTTCTCTCGCAATGTCACAGAGCTTAAAACATCCTATAAATTAAAAGCTGATTAAAATTAAGTCCGATTCGATAAAAAAAAATTTTCATTCAAGGTCAACTCACACTGACTAAGCTATCGCGTTTAATTTCCTCACCGACTTCTTTTTTTGTAACTCGTTTTCGCCAATTGTTCTCACCATTATTTTTCAATAATGCTAAACGCTCAGCAATTGAGCCATTCTTAGCTATTGACTCTTGTTCAGGTCTCATCTATGAAAGTGAAGAAATGGTTCACATGAATTAATTAAAACTCATGCTGAAGTAAAATTTTATTATTTGAGGCATGGGTAGGCTTTTTGGGTATATCCAAGGGTATCTCAGTGAGAAACTGATTCCAAAGAACCATCAGGAAACAACAACTTCTTTAAGACATTTTGTCATTAACAAGACGACGTCTTGATACCACGTCTCCTTTATATTTTAATATCAAAAAGACTACGAGACATAGCCCTGGATCCGGCTTCTCAAGTATATCCTAACCATACTTGAGAATATGATCAGGATACACCCAATAACATCCAAAATAATCCACGCCATCTAAAAAATAACATAATTGAAATTACCTTATCGTTGTCCTCGTCAGATGAAGTTTGATCAATACTCGCTGTCCTATTTTTATTTTCTAAATCATTCAAACGCTTTAACCTTTCCTTCACCGCTTCCGATGCCTCTTGCGATACTATCGATGTGCTTTTACTCTTCGCCAATGAAATTTGTTGTGCTCTTTAAATATACATGCGAATGGAAAAGAAGAAGAACAAGTAAGATAGAGGAATTGCAGTTATACGTTCAAGTCCATAATAATAATAATTCTTATGGCAATTTGTATTAAATGATGGGAATGATCGAAGCGGCGCAGTGAAAAACAAGTTTAAACACTTGTTGATTGCGAAAAATTAAATAATTTTCAAAGACTTCAACTTGACTTCACCTCTATTAATAGAATCGATTCCGCTAAAATATCAAACTTAAATGCTATTGCACAACGGTAAATATGCTTCATGGATCGAGTTTACAACGCCAAAATTGATAAAGATTGACACTCGAGTTTTATTTTATTCTTTTTATCAATTATAGGCTCACTGCATGTGGATTTGTAATCAAACAATGAGCAAAACTAGACTAAATGGACAGATATTGTTATTGTTTTTAAAAGGTTTATCAATATTCTCGACGTAACACAGCACACAGCACCGTATGATATTGAAAATTGAAAATATTTTTGTATGTAAACTTAATTGTGCGGAAAAAATCGCGACACGTTCGATGTTTTCTATTCAACGATTACGAGTAGAATGTGAGGCAGCACAAAAAAATGTTTATTTTTTTCTACTCAATGAAATAATAAAATAGTATGGAGCATAGCGCAGCGATGAGAGATAAGTGCATTTTCAGAGTTTGAAGATGATGCTAATATAGTCAATTTCCGTAGCAGGGGTGTAGTTGGTGATTTTTCGTATGAGAGAAAATTGGGGGGGGGGGGGGGGGGGGGGGGGGTGCAAAGAACTTTTGGTATAATATTTACACAACTCTTTTAATTCTTTTTACAAAGGTTACATGGGGGGGGTCTTCCAAAAATTCTCTGCCCCCCCCCCCCCCCCCCCCCCCACAATTCCTGCATGCTTTCTATGAAAAAAATCTCTCCCCCACTAGCTCCATCTCATGTTCCAAACATCCATAATCTCTGAGCATGTTATTGCCGCCCTGCTCATTAATTGCGTAACGTAATAAGCATCACAAGCAGTAACACATTTCAGATCCAATTTCAAACCTAATTGCTTTACAAATGAGCAATTTTCAATTAAGTAATAGGAGTAATGCTCAAGCGATGATGATGTGATTTATAGGCCCAAAAATGAATTTTTTAATACATGTGTTGCATAAATGTCAGTTTGCTGTCGATTAGCAATTTTAATAATATTTTTTTCATAGTACATGCTTCTGTTATTCTTCTTGCCTTAAATAATTTTATTATCTTTTTTTTTGTTGTTGCTGCTGAACGCTAACACATCTGAAGCGTGGTGAATAATAATAATCTGCTTTTTGTTCGAGTCATTATTTTGATTTTATAGTTTGCCTTATTTATCTGCTTCCGTTGACTAATGTCTTGTGATTGTCATAGAAAATTGTCATAATTTAAATTAGGCTTTGCAAATTTTTCGTATTGTTTTGATCATTAAGTATGTAGAAGAAGTACCGGTATAGTGTTACGGATGTGATTAGTGTTAATTCTTATGCAATCAGAACAGAATTGTAGCTATTGAGACTTGATCTTAATACTTAAGAAACTTCATAAAGAATATTTAGCAGAAAGGAGTAAACTTTCAGACAACGGGAATCGAACCCACTTCCTTACAATTTCCGGTCACATACTCTTACCACTGAGCAGGGGCGTAGCCAGGGGGGGGCCATAGGGGGCCCGGGCCCCCCCCCTACGAAAATCTGATAATTGTTTTATTAAGTATTTATAGAGAAGAACCAGTTAATGTAGAGGAAGTGATGAAAGAAATGTCAAAATGAGCACGGAAAATTAAATTTAATGTATGAATAATGAATTAAATATTTAAACTTATGAAGAATGAATATAGATTTAAGGATACAAAATAACGGTTTTTTCAATTTTCGAAGATGGGCCCCCCCCTTAAAAATTTTCTGGCTACGCCCCTGCCACTGAGCTATCGTGGGTTGCTCATAATCTTAACAGAATGCCAATTTAAACTATTTTCTGCTCTTAACAGTATCTTCAGTATTATTGTTGATGCAGCTTTACTTAGAGACTTCCAACAGTAGCTGCCAGGTGTTAGTTTTCAATGTTTACAATTTTTTTCAGTGATAAGAGAGTTTATGAAGGTTGAAATTGTGATTCATGGAATATAAATTAGCAGCCTTGTACTGACTGTGCATGGAACTTCGCCTGAAAACTCTGATTTCTAAAATATAATTCACACCTAGGTCAAATGTGCTAATAATCAGATGATTATTTATTTTTGGGAAATTTGTTTTGATTTCTTATATTCTTAAAATTTGTAATTATCCAATTGGTTTGCTGGAGGTTTGGAAATCGTAGGTTCATCATTAAAGATTTGGTACACAAAAGAACAAGAGACAGATTCGTAGCCAGGAGAGTCTTGACCCCATCTTAAGCATTTTAAGCCTTGCACTCGCTGCGGTTCAAAACGTTTAAGGGGAGACAAGACCCTCCTGGCTATGCACCTGCCAAGAGAGTAAGCTCCTTTAAGCAACAACTTTACTCTAAAATTCTGTAAAGATTCTAACTTCTAGTTATAAATTTTTATAGATGGTACTCTCAAAACAGCTAGACGTATTACTCAATCAATACAATACAGAATAATAAAAAACAATTGACAAACATCATTTACATAAATGGAAATACCTTTACGACTACTCCACCTTAACATACAGTCACTATCCCACACAAACATTTCCACATCGGAATCTCATCGAAAATTCCATCAACACCTTCATAATCCACACAAATAATCTCTAAAAACAGCAATAAATCTCAAACTTCCTCATCATAATTGACGGATGCATAACGATAGTAATCCATAATATTTGATAATATGGAAGTAGTTTTTTTTTTTGTATAAAAAAGATGTGAGAGATGAATGAAGCAAAAAGAAAAAAACCAAAAAATTATGTAAGGAATGTGCGCAAAAAAAATATCAAACAGATTTTAAAGCCATACGAACCACACACATGTTAACAATCTCGTGTGTGAATATGAAAATAAGAGTAAACAAAATGAGATCAGATGACCATATAAAGACTTTATAATGTGGATAGCGTGTAGATAGAGTAAGTGTTAATTTAAAACAAAAAAAGTAGCAATTGCTATGCTTTAAAAATAACAAAATATAGTACATAGGCAGAAAAGTTCATGAGGCGTAATCTGAAGGTCGTTAATTGCGAAATTAAATTATGATGAGGATGATGATGAAAAAACAAAATTTAATTAAAGAAATAAATGAAACATATGAAGCATATTGCAAGAAATAATGGGCCGCAATTGAATAATCGAAAACATTCATTCGTGAAATTAAGTTTAATGCCAAATGTAGTACACGAAAAGAAACATTAGAGAACCATCCAACACGGTTTTAAAGTTTGAAATCGAAAGTTATTGCTGTCTGATAATTAACTTTCCATTGTCTCAGTTCTTCTTCTTGCGGTTGAATGACAGACGATGAACGGTGATTGAATTTCCATTGAATAATAATCATAAGATTTCAATGACCAGATGTGACTTTGTAGATGAATGGAACAAGAAGAAGATATGATTGTTATTACGATGGATAGGGATTCTTAAGTGAATGGGAACAGAAGCGTGGTATCTTGGATGATTTTTTTCAGTATCATTTAGGGACATACAATCAAGTATGGTTAAAATAGGATTTTTGCACTCTAGTATGTCTTTAGTAAGGTCAATATAAACTAGTATAGCTTTAGTAAGGTCCATATTCTCTAATATCGATTTAGTAGAGTCAATATTCTCTAGTATGGCTCTAATTGGATTCAACAACTTCAGTACGGCTTCAATAGGGTTCCAAAACTCCAGTATAGCTCTAATAGGGTCCATGCAGTCTAGGATAGCTCTAGGAAGGCAAGTTTACTCTAGTATGGATCTATGAGTGACAGTAGACCCCTGCAAACCCTTACAAAAATTCACATTAGAACTAAATCACTTAGTCATAAGCAATTATAGTTATTCAAGTCAGATATCTACAGCAGCTCAATCCATAGTTATGAATACTTTTGGTCCGGAAATGAACACGATTACGTTGAAGAAAAGCAGACGAATGCTTTCACACCTGGGATGTATCATTGTCGGTGTAGATGCAACAGTCTTGAGACTACTTTAAGCATTAAGATAACACTGAGTGTATATCTAGTAACTGCACTGATACATCCACAATCAACAAGGTAAATTACAAACAAAAAAGAAAATTCCAAGGAACCGAAACGTTTGAACAGAACCCCTAAGGATGATGACTGAAGGAAAAAATCAATGAACGTGTCTTGACTCTTCTTTTGTTTCATCTTCAGCCTTCTTCTTCTTCCTCCTTCATCTCGTTCCTTCTCTGATGTCAATTCTTTATGCTCCGTACCATAATGTACGTCGTGTTTTGTCTGCATTTAAAGATTTTTTTTACCTCTCGTCTGTTTTTTGTTGTTATGTTTTAAATTCACTTTCTGGGCATTAATGCTCTTGCCTTAACTCTTTTTCTTATTTATTGCTTGTAAGGGATTGTTAATAAATGATGTTCAATTAATTTTTTTTTTGAGGGAAGTTGGGTTTGTTGCTGTGTAAATAGGGGTGTGGTATTGATCAACTGACTTTTGATCAGTTTGTACATTTGTGACAGAGGGGCAAGGGGGTCTGAAAATCTCATTTTTTATAAACATCATTTTTGAACGACTCACTAAGCACTTAAAAGTCTATTTTTTACATCTGAATAAATTCTCTATTTGTTAATCATTTTGTGTCCTACTTTGGATCATTCGTCTATTCATAATATGGAATTAAATTCTCACGGACTTTATTCTTTCTTGTCTACACAGCTCGTTGCTGTTATGATTCATGAATTTCAGAGTAATTCTTTAGAATTTTTAATTTTCATTGCACAATCGTTTTACCTACTTAACTGGACTGTGATGAATTAATGATGTTTACACTATAAATTCACTTTCATTAAACTGTC